GTCACTTTGTAAAGAAACACTATAAAAACAGCTTTCAAAAGTTTGATTTGATTTTAACATACTGTATGTTTAAATAAATATGTTTATTATATATATAAATGTATATATATTAGTTCTGATATATTATTAACTGCAATAAAGGACATTTTAATGTGTGGTTTGAGCATCTCAACACATTTCGGGGCCATAATGCCCACGTTTAATTCCACATGATCCTTTCTAATCTTGGTAAAACATTTATTTGTAATATCCAGCGTGCTGCTGAGCGTCTGTAACGGTCACAGTTAATTTACCGGCGTGGAGATTCTCACCAAAGCCTCTCTTCTCACACACACAATGTCCTAACCTTCATTTCTCAACCCCACCCAGAACTTTCCCACCCTTCAGCTCCACACTGGCTGTCAATCAAAAGACGGGCAATCAGTCATCAGCCGTGAAAAGACCTCGTCCCACTATCCCTTCATTCCCTCCTATAACGCTCCTTTATTCCTTTATCCCAGCGCCTCTAAATGGGCGTGACATATTTTAATCTCCAGCACGCCTTCTCTAAATTCCCGCCGTTGGGCTCGCCGTGTCCGCCATTGGCCGGCTTAATCACCAGAGGCAGACACTGCTGTCTTTTTTAGGGGGCTATAGGATCAAACCCACCCCTCCCTCGCTCTACCCTTCTCTGCGTCTTCAGGGTCACGGCCCCCCTGAGACCGGGGCCCTTTGAGCCTGGCGAAAAGGATCATGTCATGAATGGAGCTTGATTTAGTTTTAACAGGGTGCTGTGTCCGTCCTTTAAGTGGTAAATGAATATACATTAGCCGCGAAAGGCCTGCAGGGACGAGAGAATGAGAGCGAGGGCTCTGAATGCTGAGAAGGTGGAGAAGGGGTGTGTGAGTGCAAATAGAAAGGAGGGGGTTTCCCGCTTCCCTCTGCAGGATCCCAAAGCAGTTAATTGGACCGTTTGTTTGTTCCTCACGTCCTTTGACGAGATGGGAGCGAAGATCTAAGTATGTCACATGCTGACTTCCCAGAGAGGGGGAATTAAAGGCTTGCGTTCATGGACACAGACAGGAAGACAGTTTGATGAAATGTTTTACCGTGTTTGAAACTGTGAAACGACACAAAATGGAACGAGAATTGTGTAGTGACCAACTTCAGGAAAGAGTTGGCGTGCTGGGCATTTGTTGGCTTTTTTCTTCAATAACTTATCCTCTTCATTTCTTTAAAAACAAAAAAAGCTATTTTTGTTTAACTTTATAACTGTATATTTTAATGCATAGGAACAATGTAGCCTATATGTGTCTACAAAAATAATTGTAAGCATTTAAGAATAAAACTTTTGGCTGTTCATTTCAAATACCAATGTTCCACATTTAATAAAATAAAAACTGTCTTAATTTGGAAACATTACCTTTTTTTATGTTTTTGAAAGAGGTTTATTATGCTCACCAAGGCTGCATTCGTTTAATCAAAAATACAGTAAAAACAGAAGTATTGTTAAATATTTTAATTAAAATGTAATTCATTCCTGTGATGCAAAGTTGTATTTTCAGCATCATTACTCCAGTCTTCAGTGTCACATGATCCTTCAGAAATCATACTAATATTCTGAAAAATATTTTGAATATAATTTCCTGCAAAAAAGAAATGACTAATAATAATATACTGTGTATGCTGTTTGAATTTCAAATGTCTTATACTGCATTCCTCTACCCTTTGACCTCCAACATCCAGATATCTGTTTGGTCTTGTGTTTAATGAGACAAACATGTGGCATCATCACCTCTTTCATCAACCAATCGACCCCAGACAAGCAAAGGTCATGACCTTTCACCCTGATGGGCACCATGAGTGAACAAGTGACATCAAGATGGTCACTGGCCAAAAAGGACCGGAATCAAAGGGTCAAAACAAAGTTTACACAGCAGAACATCCTTCCTCGAGTGCTCAGTGGATGAAACTGTATTTCAACAAGTGCACTTTCTTTAACAATTAACATTTGCAACCTTTTAGAACAAAACGTTCGGGTTCTTGACTCAATTTTAAAGAACCTTTATGCCGAAAAGGTTCTATATAGGAGAAACGATTGAATAATACGTTCATGTTTAACGGGTTATTTACATTTAAAAAAAAAAAAAAAAAAAAAAAAAACGTAAGTGACGAGGCTTTCAAAACGGTTGCATGAAAAATGGAGGTGGTGCATCATCTCGCTCTCCAAGTGCCCTGAGAAACTGGTAGACTGGTATATAAACATAGGCGGATTAGCCATATGGACAATTGGGCCCATGCAAGGGCACCACGCAAATATTTTTTCTCTCCTTTAAGCGATTCATTCTCAAACGTATTATATCCTTTCATCAGAACGTTCTAAATTCCCCGAATGTTTTGTTGAAATTGTATTATTTTATAAGTTTTTGTTCTGTGGACGCGTGATCTACCGCCAGATTCACACTACTGCGTGAGCACGCGCGTTTCATGTCAACGCCCATAAACAGTGTCCACTGGCACGGAGCAGAGCGAGCGTTTTCACTTCATATAGAAGTTTAGCTTCAACTATATGAAGTGAAAACGCTCGCTCTGCTCCGCGCTAGGCTATGAAACGCACCGTACAGATTCTGGGAGTGTGCTGTGCGGTTTCGCGTGTTTTGGGTCCTTTCAATCGAAATGAAACTGCCTCGCGACGCTCATGTATGTGTGAATCCACTACAGAGCATCAGCCGTGCACTTTCACGTTGTAGGCTACTTTGCAAAAAAGTTGCAGAAAGAGGCAGAGTGTAAACGTGTGTGAGTCTTTACATTTTATTTTCAGTTCAAAACCATAGGCCGCCGCCTAGCTATAGAGATGTTATTGCAAGACCAGTCTAAAACCATGGCATGTTTGCATTTCATTTTTCAATTGTTTAGATTTACTTCGATTATATTTTAAAGCGTGCTTTTTTCAAATTTATATCATATCTTGAAGTGAAACAGATGTTTATTATTATGCCTGTAACAGTTGGGTTCACCATAGTTCTAAAATGTTTAAGGTTACATACTTGCAGCAGGTTATAACATTTGTGTTCACAAGTTTATAGATATTTAGAAATTTATCATTTATAGAGTACATTGCAAAAAGTGGGAACCTGATTTTGTAAGATTTTTTTCTACTTGAGCTATCATTGATGTAACCTTCTGTTGTCAGAAGTTTATATGAATTACTTCTGAATGGCTATTGTAAAATAATACTAACTGAATGTAAATTTTCACATGAAACACATTTTATTTATTTAACAAATTATTTCTTTTTGTAGTGGTTAGGTTAGGGGTCAGTGCTGAAATTGACGTCAGATTGACGTCGGATAAGAGTCTTAAAATCTTAATCCGCCACAAAAAAAAGTTACTGGCAGCTTTAAAGGGTAACAATTGCCAAAATTGAAACTTGGCTCTTTTTGTTTATCTACCCGAGTCAAACTTTCGGTAAAAGCATAATTAGAATGGAAACGCCACTTTTAAGATTGACCGTTTTAGGTAAAAATGCCTTTTGAATGGGAGTGCATGGGGCACTTCTATGATAGCATCAAAATCGCTGTTTTTAGAACACTAAGAAGGCTTGACACAACATAAAACTGTGCTCGAAGTATCACCAGGGCCTCTACACATGAACTAGAGCTTTGAATTCATTGTCTACACAAAGTTTACTAAAAAGAAAGGTTTTGTACGACTCACTTTATCAGTTAATGTTTCCGGTGTCAAAAGAAGTCGATCTCCGAATGCAACCTAACATAAGGAGAGTAAAGATGGAAAGCTCCTAATAGAAATTCCATAGAAATTCACAAATTCAATGCTCAAGTTCATGTGTTAGACTTGGGTAGATAAACAAAAAGAGCATAGGTTCAATTTTGGCAAGAGTTACCCTTTAAGAGTGACACAAAAGACCATTTGAAAATACGATTTGTGCAGCCAGAACATCTAGAATCAGAAGCATCTGTAAAAGTCTGAGTGGAAACACATTTCAAACCACCTCCAAATGCATTTTAAAAATTAAAAATGTAAAATGTATGTATTTTTTTGCTGTCCTGACATTCAAAAAACTCATCTGAATAAAATCTGGATATGCAAAATAAATAAATCAGATTTAGCCTAAAAGAGTAGCCTTAATGAGCACAGCAAATTAAATGTTTTAAGACCAGTGGGCATAATCATATTTATTTTTTTTAAATGATTCTAATGTGCTGTATTTCATGTTTGTTTGTTTATGTGCTACGAATGAGTGTGGGAAAAAAATAAGCACATTGATCTAAGGTAAGAATCACTTCAATAATTTTATCTGGTATTAGACAGTAGTGAAATGTTTAATATTATTTTTTTTTACAATAAAAGATAACACACTGAAAGATCAAAACAAATTAAATGTTACATTATTAGAGACAGGAAAAACCATGTAAGAATATTTACATACAGATATTGCACATTGTTGCCACTGTTTGGTCAAATTTGTTAAAGCATTAAGAAAATGACAAATATTTGATTTAGAGATGTTATGCAGGCATGCTGATTGACATGGACATGCAAATTATTGGGTCTATAAATAAAAGATTATAGATTTTATATGTGAATACAACATGTGGTTTCTCACCTAAAATTTTAAGACAAACATTTTTAGAACATTTTTACATCATAATGACCAAGGAAAAAATAAATGCTTGAATAATGCTTAAATGAACAACAATTAAATTTCATTAAAAATGTAACAGCTTGGAGGTTTAGAGGTTGTGGGTTTTTGGTCACATTTTCTCTGAACACATTCACAGGAAAGTCACTTTAATCTAGAATCATTCCCTTTTTTTTTAAAAGATTTTTTTTTATAATTCTGATTAATCTGATAATCTTTTTGATATGCAAATATATTCAGTAGTTATTTGGATCTGCAAATTTGATAAAAAATAAATGCATTCTCTTTCATAGATATTGTGGATCTGTGCTTTATGGCTTCTTTCTAATTTTTGGCCGGTAGTGAGTTTTGCTGTCTTCAGGGAAAGCAGATGCTTGTCCCAGTGACACGGATCTGATTCCATGTGTTAATGCTGCTCCACGAAGTTTGTCTCTGTCCTGTATGAGAAACCATGCGTTACTTTCAGCTTTCAGTTTGATTTTGCTGGTCCGAAACTAAACGCGGTCACCAAGCGCCACCTTGTGGTGGAGAGATCACGTGATCTGAGATGGCAGCATAGAAATACTATGTATCAAAGCTCTCTTTCAATCTTTCTTTTAATAAAATAAATGTAACTTATATTTGAATAATAATATTTATTATTATTAATTTTATTATGATAAAGATAACTACAAGTATTACTAATTTATGTATTAATTCACTGCATTTTCAATTTAGTGGCTGTTAGTATGCCTAGCATTTTCATAATTAAGCTTTAAACAATTGTTACATTAAAATGATTACATTTTTTTAGTGTACAAATGTCTCTAAAAGTGCAAAAAGCTTCCTGAACTTTAACCAATGCCTCTATTGTCATTCTAAGCCCTCATGTTCCCCCTGGTGGATATTTTATGTATGAAAAGAAATTGTAATAGGATACTAGATACAATTTTACTCTAGAATTCACATAAACAAACCACTAACTGAAGAAATAGTAACTGAAGAAGACATGCCCCGTTTTAAAGTTGGGCTCACAGTTTTATTTCTGTACTCACGTGTTTGCATGTTTGTTGGGGATCATGTGGTTGTTGTAGGTCAGGATGGGAGGAACACTTTCTTCATCCTCTGGAACCTGCAACGAGGTAAAAAGAAAAAAGAAAAAAAAAGATATACATTATACTAATTAAATTTACAAAAATTATAATATATAGATATATATAAAATATTTCTTATATATATATATATAGATACACACACACACACACACACACACACACACTCACCTAAAGGATTATTAGGAACACCATACTAATACTGTGTTTGACCCCCTTTCGCCTTCAGAACTGCCTTAATTCTACGTGGCATTGATTCAACAAGGTGCTGAAAGCATTCTTTAGAAATGTTGGCCCATATTGATAGGATAGCATCTTGCAGTTGATGGAGATTTGTGGGATGCACATCCAGGGCACGAAGCTCCCGTTCCACCACATCCCAAAGATGCTCTATTGGGTTGAGATCTGGTGACTGTGGGGGCCGTTTTAGTACAGTGAACTCATTGTCATGTTCAAGAAACCAATTTGAAATGATTCAAGCTTTGTGACATGGTGCATTATCCTGCTGGAAGTAGCCATCAGAGGATGGGTACATGGTGGCCATAAAGGGATGGACATGGTCAGAAACAATGCTCATGTAGGCCGTGGCATTTAAACGATGCCCAATTGGCACTAAGGGGCCTAAAGTGTGCCAAGAAAACATCCCCCACACCATTACACCACCACCACCAGCCTGCACAGTGGTAACAAGGCATGATGGATCCATGTTCTCATTCTGTTTACGCCAAATTCTGACTCTACCATCTGAATGTCTCAACAGAAATCGAGACTCATCAGACCAGGCAGCATTTTTCCAGTCTTCAACTGTCCAATTTTGGTGAGCTCTTGCAAATTGTAGCCTCTTTTTCCTATTTGTAGTGGAGATGAGTGGTACCCGGTGGGGTCTTCTGCTGTTGTAGCCCATCCGCCTCAAGGTTGTGCGTGTTGTGGCTTCACAAATGCTTTGCTGCATACCTCGGTTGTAACGAGTGGTTATTTCAGTCAAAGTTGCTCTTCTATCAGCTTGAATCAGTCGGCCCATTCTCCTCTGACCTCTAGCATCAACAAGGTATTTTCGCCCACAGGACTGCCGCATACTGGATGTTTTTCCCTTTTCACACCATTCTTTGTAAACCCTAGAAATGGTTGTGCGTGAAAATCCCAGTAACTGAGCAGATTGTGAAATACTCAGACCGGCCCGTCTGGCACCAACAACCATGCCATGCTCAAAATTGCTTAAATCACCTTTCTTTCCCATTCTGACATTCAGTTTGGAGTTCAGGAGATTGTCTTGACCAGGACCACACCCCTAAATGCATTGAAGCAACTGCCATGTGATTGGTTGATTAGATAATTGCATTAATGAGAAATTGAACAGGTGTTCCTAATAATCCTTTATGTGAGTGTATATACACAGATAGATAGATTATTGCTATGTTTATTTTCATGTTAAATATTTATTTTTCTTCATTATTTTATAAATATTTTTTTATTTTTTTATTGTATAGTGTTATTAATGCTTTAGATAAAGATTTTTCACCATGCCAATAAAGCCATTTAATCTTGAAACGAGAGAGAGAGAGAGAGAGAGAGAGAGAGAGAGAGAGAGAGAGAGAGAGAGAGAGAGAGAGAGAGAGAGAGAGAGAGAGAGAGAGAGAGAGAGAGAGAGAGAGAGAGAGAGAAATTTCTTGAAAAAAGCCTTGTAAAATTTCTCTGTAAACATTTAAAAGAGAAAACAATCGTCTGACCTCCCAATAGATCTCGTCCTCAAAGCAGTTTTCATCGGCAGGATCCCCCCAGATGGGCAGCTTCAGAACCAGGCCTGTTGGTGGAACAATACAGCTATGTCAACATGATAAATGTGACATTTCCATTACAAACTGAAATCTAATACGCCTGTCCATTAACGTTAGCTGAAGATCAGGTGTGTTTGTAGACTGACTACCAAAATGTCATCCTACACTGTCCTCTCTAGTTTTCATGTTACAAGCACCACACCTGTGCCACGACACAACAAACAATTGCAACAAAAGCCCTTCAGATCCGCAAGCTTTTCAGAAGTATTGTATGGTGTACTGCGGCATACAGTGAGAATCCATCACAGTATGCACTTAAAATAGATTCATCTCTCAAAAGACTCTTACCAACTAATATACCGCCTCCGATTCCAAAACACAAGGCCACACAGAGTCCGGCTGCCTGGTATCCTCCCTGGACAGTGGGCACCCGTTTCGCAATAGCTCCCGTAAAGTCAAATGTGTTTTCCAACCTGAAATGGACAAATATTGCAGTGAACTAACTGGGCACAATAATAATAATTTTTGTAATAAAACTACTACTAATAATACATTATTAATATTGGTAGTGGTACTAAGTAGTAATATTAATACATTATTATTTAATATAATTAAAAAAGACTAGTCCTGCTACTAATAATTGTTGTTCTTGTATATTATTCAACTATAATCAATAACATTAATGTTAGTATTAAATAACATTTAACAATATTAATAAGTGTTATTTAATTATAATACATAACATTAATAATAAGTACTATTTTTTAATAATAATAATAATAAACAATATCATTGTTGTTATTTAATTATACATATTATTAATAGGAAAAACTATTAAGAAAATAAGTATTATTATAGGTTATTTTTCTAATGCAATCTGAAAATGATATCTTACATGAAATACATACATTGTAATTTTTATTTATTTATTATTATTTACTGTTTACTGACCCTAACTCTCCATAAACGGTGCTGGTGGCGGCAGCGGCTGAGATGGCGCCCACGATTCCTCCAATGACCCCTGGCATAGCGTGCAGGTTATGGATCCCACACGTGTCCTGAATCTTCAGCTTCTCCTCCAAGAACGGCTGAGGAGCAGAGACAAATGAGAGATTTATGCAATCATAAGGGATAGTTCGCCCAAAATGTTTTATTCTGTCATCCTTTACTAACCCTCAAGTTGTTCCAAACCTGTATGAATTTCTTTCTTCTGCTGAACACAAAAGACATTTTGAAGAATGTCAGTGACCAAACAGTTGACAGTAGCTATTGACTTTCATAATATTTCTATGGATGTCTATGGCTACCATCAACTGTTTGGTTACCGACAATCTTCAAAATATCTTCTTTTGTGTTCAGCAGAAGAAAGAAATTCATACAGGTTTGGAACAACTTGTGAGAAAGTATCCCTATAACAAAAGACAAAGCTTTTACTGTCACAATGTTCATGATCGAATAAATCCAGTTAAATACTGTAAATAATTGAAGAAACGCAGATGGTTTAAAGTAAATAAGAAATAACTGGAATAATTCATCTGACAGGTAAGACTCACCGAAATAAAAATGTAACCCATCGTGGAAATAATGCCACAGAAGAAACCCACAATCAAAGAACCGTATGGCATGAGCATAAACTCAGCTGCTGTTCCCACAGCAACTCCGCCTGCCAGCGTGGAATTCTGGATGTGAACCTGGAAGCGGAAAAAACATGGCATTTAATCTTGGGTTCAAATTCACATATGCACAGTGCTCGAACTGGGGGGAAAACATGTAAAAAGTGTTGGTGAACAGGAACAAGTGAGGGTACGCGTACACACTGCATATGCATTACTGACTGTACAACTGAATTACTGACTGGACAATCATAGAAATGAACTGGTCAACCACCAATGATATTCCAAGACTTGTCCTCTCACTGCATTAACTGGATAATAATAATAAAAAAACGAAAAATAATAGTAATAGTTAGGGGTGTGATGATACACTTGCCTCACGAGACAATACACGATATTGAGTTCATGAGAACGAGACGATATTTTAACACCATATTTAAATCTTCAATGACAAAATAGTCTTTTATTCGACTGAAAGACGTCACAATGCAGGTGCATTTTGAAATGTTTTAACTATTCTACGGCTGTCGAAGATCATTTTGGTTATCGAGTAATTGGTCGATTATTTCACCGATTATTTGGACCATTTTTGGTATAATAAAGTTAGAACAACAGCCTTTAAAATGACTAAAAATGCATGTGCAACTGCAACCAATAATAATTGGTTCAAATAAAGTATCAAAAGCAATTGATCTCATGGTTTTATTGAACAACACTGTTAAAATGCATAATGTAATATAGATTATATAAACAATCAACTTATGTACATTATGTATTATAACAAATGCCCATTTGTGCAGCCTTAGAAAAGGTCTAATAATGCGGTTCATGGATCCTCGTCCGTGAAATGCGCCACTTCCGGTATTTTGCCGGTTAAACTCGAATCGTGTCACTTTAGTTCTTCTTTCGGAGTATGAATTATCATATAAGCAAACACTGTAAAAGGTTTTACCACAAACTCACTCGTGCTGATATCTGAAAATCACATTTCGAAAATACCCTCATATTTTCAGGTTTTTCATGACTCGTGTCTTTTTTATTTCATAAAATAAAAATGAACTGATTTAATCTACTTTAATTTAATTCCTCTTTGATCTTTTAGATCTTCTTTAAGTCGTATCTTACGCATAAGTGAATCAGGTCTACCAAAAAAAACAAAAATACTACCTCTACTACTAATAATAATAAAGGATGCTCACCATGTCTAGTTTCCCAGTTTTCTCGAACAGGCTGGAGACGGCGACTGCCGTGAGGACGGTGGAGGCCAAGGCCAGGTATGTGTTGATGGCAGCTCTGTGCTGACCGTCTCCATGGTCAGCAATGGCAGAGTTGAAACTTGGCCAGAACATCCACAGGAAGAGGGTTCCTGCACAAGACACCAGAATGATAATGTAAACGCTGTCTGAGCCTTCAATAAAGCAAGCTTTAATTTAAGCTGCACAGAATAACCAGTAGTCCTTTCAGCTTCTAAAACGATTCGTGTCTAATCCTAAAATATAATGCAAGCTTAAGCTCAACAAGACTCTTACCAATCATGGCGAACACGTCCGAGTGGTAGACGGACCCGTTCAGATGTTTGCTCTTATCCAAATCAGGTCGATACAAAACCCATGAAATGGACAGACCATAATAAGCTCCAAAAGTGTGGATCACCATGGAGCCCCCAGCATCTTTGGCCTAACAGGGATCGAATCATTGATCAATATAATATAATAGATTAGGGGTGTCACAATAAATCCCAATTCAAAAATGCAACAATATGCATCATGGAAAGTGACAATATGTAATATGTATAGGAAGAAAGGAAGAAATTCAAATTCACAGAGTTTTAGTGTCACTACTACATTAAACCACCATATATAATGTTGAATGTAATGTATAATAATGCAATGGGGGAATATTTGTGGGTCCTGATAATGACAAATGCCTGGCCTATACAGTCTTTTAAATACATCTAGTTGTGAAAGAGTGAAGCATATTCATCTAAAATAATTCTGTATTTTCAGCTTCAGAATCATGAATATTTTTATTCTGGTGTCACCATTGTCCTGTGCATTGGGTTTCCAGCACCAAGTTCAAGCCTATTCATTTACACCAACAATGTAATACCAAATTTAGTATTTTAACCAACAGTACATTTTTGTTAATCATTTACCAGTATTGGAGTATCGCAATAATATCGTATCGTGAGTTCAGTATCGTGATGTGGATCATATGTATATGTACAACCCTAATATATATACATATACATACACACATATATAACACATGAACACTACAGTGATTGTAAATGTATAAAACACACTAGGTGCACATTATCTTTGATAGCCTAGCGATCACTCACACGAAGGACGCTCAGGATGATGTTCTCTTCCACAGCGAACAGCGTGACCCCTAACAGGGTCATCACCAACAGCTGCACGGGACTGACCTTCCCCAGCACGGCCCCGTAGGCGATCAGACACCCCGCCACACAGAAATCTGCATTGATCAAGCTGAACACAGGGGACATCGCTTCAATGAAACATTTGTTCCATTCGTTTCAGCCCTGAACTTACATTACACTTGATTTCAGTCAACTTGAAGCCATCCAATTCAGTGTGTTAGATGACCATACATTTGGCATTTTTATAACTTTTTCATGTCCTTCATACAAAGTAGCAAACAGTGCTGATTACAAAATAAATAGTGGTGCCTGCATCGATCACTTTCCAGTTTGGTCCGGCTGTTTTTCTAATTCTAATCCTTTATTCCCGCAGGGAAGTGACACCTGCAAACTGGTTTGTCTGTATAGTGTCTTTCGAAGTTATCAACACTAGGTTCACATGCAAAAACTGCAGCTTTTCTACATAAATCCTCAAACAAATTGGCTAATTCTGATGCAGAGATTCTCAGTGTTAATTATAGGACAGTATAAATGTCTCTGGTTTTAAATAACCCCCCCCCCCCCGGCAACTGTAATAACTCACAAAAGAGAACATACTTTTCTATCCCGATCTTGATCTTTCCATCAATTGGGTCCAGAGAATGGAACCAGCCTTGCATCAGAAGAGCCCACTGGATGCCGAAAGCCGCAATCAGGAAGTTAAATCCGACGGCACCAAAGCTATAGCGCTTCAGGAAGGTCATGAGGAACCCAAAGCCCACGAAGATCATGACATGAACATCCTGAAAACCTGCAGGAAAAACAAACTAAATATTTCCAATTCAGTCAATCAGAATCATAGCGCGGATCAGAAGAAATCGGTCAAATAGAAAGAGGTGTTTGTCAAGGGTGTAAACACATTCAGAATTGAAAAACCAAGAGCGTTTGAAAAACATCTGTATATTTGGTCTATGGTGGTTAGGTCCATTAAGACGGATGTCCGGCATCATTACTCCAGTATTCAGGGTCACATGATCCTTCAGAAATCATTCTAATATGCTGATTTGCTGCTCAAGAAACATTTATTATCGACGTTAAAACCAGTTGTGCTGCTTAATATTTTTGTGGAGACAGACATTTTTTTCAGTATTCTTTCAATAGTTCAAAAGAACAGCATTTATTGTAAATATTTATTAGATTTTTTTTGTAACAAAAGGTGTTCACTGTTACGTTTGATCAATTTAATACATTGATCATTGCTGAATTAAAGTATTAATTAGAAAAAACTCTTACTGACCTCAAAGTTTTCAATGGTGGTGTATAAAATATATTACTGTGTGAGAAAATACTAAATCATTTTAAAAAAGGGAAAAAATAAATAAAAATAAAACAAAGTGTCAGTATATTAAATCATAACTTTATATTCAGAAATATTATCTGAATTACAATATAAATATTTTTATTTATTTTATATTTTTAAGTTACCATCATAAAATTCACATCCGCCTTTAGAAAGCCAAATTAAATTGTAATATTAACCAAATTTATAAACAATTATGTTGTTAAAACATTTTATAAGTATCTTAATTCACCCTCAGATAACTACAGACAAATGTGTGTTTTAGCAAGTCACAAACTGTAATCTGAGCCTTTTGGTGACATAACTGAGGTCAAAGCAGCTGCAAATTCGACTGAAATGTAGCAGAGATGAAAAGTAATGATACTTCAATTTCTCAGAACAGGACCAGGCTGGTTACTGTGAAGGTGTTCTGGTAGAAATGCACTACAAGGACATCTCAATGCTGGTAACGCCACAGAAGACTGCAAATGAAAACAGACAGTGCTGTGGTTTCTGAACAAGCCCTTATTTCCACAGAGAAAAAGAGCCTGCTGGCATTCGTTACCGTGAAATCTCCCAGAAACAACCTGATAACACTTCTTGCTTCTTTAGCAAGGTTGTCCTTTCATTCTAGCCTGGCATGAAGCGTCACCTTGAAAACCTTCTCAACCGATTAGGTTGGTGTAAAAACAACAACAAAGACAAACAGAACTCATACAGTAAAAGCTGTCTGGATAAATTACAAGTCTTGCTAAGTTGTCTGGACTGTATTTATACACAAAAGACATTTTCTGTGCCAAGTAACTCAAGTTCATTCGGATGTAGCAGGTGTGAACAAACCCTTTTATTCATCTTCAGAACACAAATGAAGATCTTTTTGATGAAATCTGAGAGCTTTGTCCCTCCATTGACAGCTACACAACTGACACTTCAAAGGGTTCATAAGGAGATCGTAAAAGTAATCATATGAATGAATTGAGCGTTTCGATGAGTTTAGTCCACATTTTCTGATGAGACTCCATCGCTTTATATGATGAACAGATTTAATTTAGGCTTTTATTCACATCTAAAAATTCATCAACACACACATCAGTTGTGGTAAACGGAAGCTCAAACATGTTCGCTTGACGTGAGAACCAATGAGGTTCATTCTAGTGTTAAGCAGCACGTTTGAGCTTCTGCGAGAACCAATGAGGTTCATTGTTAAGCAGCACGTTTGAGCTTCTGAAAGAACCAATGAGGTTCATTCTTGTGTTACGCATCACGTTTGAGCTTCTGCGAGAACCAATGAGGTTCATTCTCATGTGTTAAGCAGCACGTTTGAGCTTCATCAAAAACCAATGAGGTTCATTCTCGCGCATCAAGCAGGTTCGGTTGAGCTTCTGTATATGTTTCCTGATTAATATTTATATGTGGATAAAAGCCTAAATTCAATTGGTTCATCATATAAAGTCTCTTCAGAAAATTTGGACTAAACCGCTCAGTTAATATGGATTAGAACTTTCAGACGGTTCAAAAAGTTCATATGAACTTTTTGAGGCGTCAAAGTGGTAGTTGCATATCAAAAAGATCTTCATTTGTGTTCTGAAGATGAACAAGAGTCTTACAGGTTTTGAACGAGATGAGAGAGTAATTAATGACAGAATTTTCATTTTTTGGGTGAACTATCCCTTTAAGTGGTATCAAATCTCACACAGTTAACAAATAAGCTTAAGCTTATCATCATCACCCCCTTGTATTTATACCAAGCACTCCACCCAATCCTTGCTCTATCAGTAAACATTTTCATAATCGGTCTGAAAGTGGACTACTAGAAGATGAACTCCAACAGACTTCTGCGGCGAGTCACACCTCAGCCATGACAAAACACATCCAATGACATCTGATCGGTCCGCAAACAATAGTTTGTGTCCGAGTTCATACACCACCTGTCATCCAACACTTGAAACGTTGATAGTTGGAGAACAGTGGATAGTCTGACCACAAGACTAAAGATCTACATGACTGAAAAATTCAACCACACCTTCAAAGATTCAAAAGATGACAATGGATACTGATCCTTACATAATCAAAGAGCAAATAAAACCCTCTACCTCCCCCAGTACCACGGTCCCATGTGCATAAGGAGGTATGCATGTTTTCAAGAGAAAAGCTTACAGATGAAGCAACTGATAAACATTAATACCACAATCAATGAACAGTGATGCATTTGTTGGGTTTTTTAGGAAAGAAGGACAGACATGCATAATATAAAATATTTAAGAAACCACATTAAACCAACAAATATTAATAAAATATAAGTTAATTATTTTGTAGGTATATACACATTTTTGCTCTTGTTAATATATATCATAGATTCTTACATTGGTCTTAGATTGATCCATTAAATGATGCACTTACTTGGATATCTGTAGTAGAAGTCATTCTCAATATCACTTGTGATATTGTTCTCCTTTCTGATGTCAACCCAGTGCGTGTCTGACTCCTCATTATACCGCACAAATACCCCAAAAAGAATAATCATAGACAACTGCCAGACGAAACACACGGCAGGTAAACTGAATTTGATGTTAGTGTTCTTTGGCCGGTCGCACATGTTCCCAGTGCAGTTCCCCATGTCTGCAGGCTGTTCCTGAGGACTGGGGATGTTGTTAGGAGACGTGGACGCGCATTAGTGTCACTTTTAAACGGTGGGAGCGGGAGGTGTGTCTGCATCTCCAATAGCCTACTCGCCCCCTTCCTCAGAAAAGAAAACAAACATTTGCGAGAAATGTCTAAGGATGACTGATTGCTAAGTTATGCAACATGTTGCTTTTTGAGGATGCTTTCGAGTTTGATTTTTAAAGCACCTGTTTTGTTGCAGGGGAATTTGGAGTCAGTTCAGTTCTGATATGTGTATTCGGATATTTCGGGCTAAAACTTCTAATTGATCGCGCACTGACGCCATACTACGCCATTAAACGCTACTATGTCGTAATTTGCGCGCGAAATTATTTGGCTACGTTCTGAATAAACAGCTAGTGTGCTACTTCCTGAATTCCATATAGGCTACACTCAGGTTTCACAAGACGTTTTCAAAGCATTCTTTTATTCATTTTTGAAAAGATACAAATCACGTGATTTGTTGCAAGAACCTTTGTCGAGTTCAGATGTGTAAAAATAGCCTCATTTATTGCCTTTCACGATGTTACACAATATGGGTGTGATTATTTTATATGCAGGATTATAGGCATACATATACATTTGCCAGCAACACGTCTTATAAGTTAAGTTTGACTCATCTAACTTGAAATTAACCTAGCATTTCCCCCCATTTTATTTATTGGAGTTATATGTTACCTACAAATTAACGTTTGAGCCCAAACAATCTTGCTAGATTTATTTAGGATAAATTTGCAACTGTTTTTCTGTTAATAGAAAAAGAATGCCATGCATTTTGTGTATCTTTGATGAAAAGTTAAAATGCTTGCTTGGAAATATATAGTCGAACTGGCTATCAGCTGTCAAACTTCCCAGCAAACATTTTGACGTTTAATGACCGTTAAAAAACGTCTCTCCGACATAGGGTTGCCAACTGTCCCGAATTAGCCGGGACGTCCCGATTTTTGGGCCTAATTAATTTGTCCCGATCGGGACCTCTCTTGTCCCGATTATTGACATCAATAATCCCCCCTCTTTTTGCCTCTTTTTAAAAAACCTTATTCTCTTCCCTCAGATGCAGTGACGAGGTGGAGCCGAAATGCTAGTACAGATTCAGACATTGATGCAGCAATGGCGGAACACCTGAAGCACGGGGGTGGTGGATGTAAAAAATGACCCATAAAGTCATAAACAAATTTCATAGACTCTAAAAACTTTTATTTATGGCTGTTTACCAGTGATGCAAGACTGTAACTGAAAGTTAGTACTGCCACAGCTCTGACTTCTATTTATCATTGGTGGAATATTATAGAAAGACTCTAAATAATGTGTTGACTGTTCCTGTACTTTTGCTATATTCTGGTTTGATTAATGGCTGCTTAACCTTAATTTGAAACTGTTAGAGAAAATGCCATTACCACAGAATTGACCACATTGTAGCCTACTATTTGTATTATCTTTTTTGAATAGTAGCTGTTTATCAACTGGAAGACATTTCAAATTTAATATTCACAATAAAATGTTGTGCTAAATTATAACACTCTTTTTTTGCTTTAGTCCACAAATAATGTTGATGTACACGTGATTAAACGGTTTTATAGACGTCCAGGTCTGACCAGACCGATTTTGGACCTTTTTCTAACCTTTGTCAAGTTCAGATGTGTAAAAAAAGCCTCATTTATTGCCTTTCACGATGTTACACAATGTGGGTGTGATTATTTTATATGCAGGATTATATATAGCCTACACATACATTTGCCAGCAACACATCTTATAAACATCCTGAAGAACTAAAAAAAGAAACCCATTTAGACGTCCATGGACGCGGAGAAAAGACGTGGAATTCACGGCCAGATGAGTCGAAGACGTCGGTTCAACTTTCATTTTGGAACTATTTTTCAACCATGACGGGATGTATTTGAGGGACATCTTTTCAATGGTCATTAATCGTCAAAATGTTTGCTGGGAATTATCCCTATTTGTAGAGCATTTTTAAACTTTCACCAGTTTCATCATTGGTACCTAATACACTCATTTGTGCAACGCTCACATATGTTACAGTTAATCTTGGTAAGCTTTTCTTTCTCCAAGCATTGACTCAGTGGATGTGTTTGACGTGAGTGGATTGAACTTGTTAATTATTGATCTGACAGAATTTGTGCTTGTATGCATGAATGAGACCATTAATTTTCAATGTTTCCCCTTGTAATTTATTGTGAAGATTGAGAACTTTAACATGGTGAAGGAGTATTTCCCGAGGCTCAGAATATTTTTAGAAAAGGGACACCTTAAACCTCCTGCTTAAACGGAACATTTCCTATCTCCATTGGGTACTTGACATTGTCCCAAATGGCTCACTTAAAGTGTACTTGTGGTCTAACGATGGTTGTCCCATTTGTTCTGACAAGCTATTTGGCATTAAGTCACCAACGTATGGACCAGGAGGAGGACAAGCAAGGTCTTAGGACGCCATGCTTCATGGGTTCCTAAGGCAGAGTTTATAGAGTGCAACAGTGCTTGCCCACTTTTTCAGCGGGATTGGTTCCGGAAGTATTTTTTCCATTAGTTTCTCCCATGGGGATTTAAAAAAAGGGAGAGGGTGCTTCATGGGAGAGGGCAGAGCTAAAGAGATCTTTTGACTCTCTGATTGGAGGAATTTTCTGTACAGCTTTCAGGATTATTAGTTCTAGTCTGTTTCGTTTTTTTAGATCTGCCTCGGGTCTTGCGGTCTCCAGCTCCACCTTGACAAGAGGACAATCCGCGAGTCCTCCACTTCACCTCGCCTCGTCAACCAGTCGGCTCCACCGGGCTTCCTCGTCCCTCGGGCTTCGCCTTGGTCCGTCATCGCTCTACCTCCGCCTCAGTCCTCTGGCACCCTGGCTCCACCTCGGACGTTTGACGCTGTGGCTCCTCATTGGTCTCCAGATTCATCAGTGTCACGTGGTCTCATTGGCTCTTCGGGTCTCCACTTCCATCAGGTCCATCTCAGTCTCTCATCCCTCACGAATCCTCCCTCCTTCGACTCCGCCATGGGCCTTCGTCCTGCTCTCTCCATCCCTCCTTAGTTGGACTCTTTTTACGCTGCCAGGACATGCTTTTCCGGCAGGAGGGAAGGGGGATGTGTCCGGGTTATGTTCTAAACTGTTTAGTTTTCTTGGTGTTTCATTTTCATTCTGTTTCTTGTTCTGTTCGCTACTTAGTTCCCTTAGTTGCCGATTACGTTCACCTGTTGTTCATTCAGTTACCTCAGTACTCCCTGTGCATTTAAGCCCTTAGTTTCCTCTGTTCGTTGTGCCATGTTGTTTTTGCTATAGTGGTTGTAAATTTCTTGCGTTTTCCCTTTGGATTTTGTTTATGAAAGACTGTTTTGAATTCTCCATTGCTGTGCGCTTTATAACAGACACTCAGCGTGACAACAGCATCATGGGTAATGTAGTTTTTGACCACAAATTCTACTGTTAAAAAAAATAATGCAGACTGATGTCTTCAACAGAAGCAAATACCTTCGATTAACAACCTAGCTCACAGTAGGTCTGTCTTTAACACTTTATAAGTTAACGTTAAAAATAGATTTTCCTATGAAGAAAATAAATGGAGTTTTTACTTCCGGAACCCGACTGTTGAACTCTATCCCACAAACTGGACTCGATATGCTTCAGGAAATTGCCGTAGCCACTACAACCTGCCTAGACATTGACATGTTTATGCTCCCGTTAGATCCAGACCGTTTATTCTGAAGTTGTGCTGGAGGGTTTAAACGTTTCATGTGTATTGTGAATGTTATCCGTTGCGCTCTGCTAAAGTTCTTCTGTCTGCAGGCGTCACTCAGAGCTGCTTATCCTGGATCTTTGAGGGCTGAATAATATTTGTTACTGATTCATGGAGTATGTGGCTGTATGCATGCGCAAGACTTTTCTTTTTTATTCTTTATCTTTGCAAATGTAAAAACAAAACATTATTTGCTTTAAAGGTTCATGCATAGTCACTCCATTTAAATTCAACTTCTGTTGTCCCTTGTTTAAGTCCCAAGGGTCACTACATTGTGAGGAGAGGGGCTCGTATCTATATTCGTGTATGTGTATGTGTGTGTTTTTCTTATAAGATTTGTTTCACTTATGTAATGCATTGTACCAATTAAAGAGATTGGCCTAACGTGTAGAAATGATCAATCATAAATTACTGCCACCTCCGGTCCTTCAACCTATTTTGTATTGTTTCAGTATTGGCCAATTAAAGTTCCTTTTTGGTAGGTTTGACTGGAATTTTATAATATTGAACTCTTAGATATGGTTTTACTGATTGGACAAATGATATGTCCTCTGTTTAGGTGTTATGAGGGGCCATCAAACCCTTATTTGCACCTTGAATGTTTAGTCATCACTGTTTTATTGATTGATGCTGAACGTACTTGAAATCAAGTCAGGGTTTGACCTCTATTGGTTGATTCAAACCTCAGCAACAAGTAGGATCAGTTCAGGAAAGTACAAGGCTAATGTATCACCTCTGGAGTGTTTGTGGTACCAGGTTAGATTGCAGATAAAAGGGTCTGTACAAGATGCACAGCAGGGCTTTTGTTGTGGTGTGAAACAGATGACACAGGTCTCCTCAGACCGGTTTAGTGTTAGTTACAGCAACCATCACCTGGAATTAATTCTCAGCCACAGAGAGCCTTTAAATGACGCCAGAGTGGTTTTACGTTGTCTGGGTTGGATCCTGTCAGGCGTGCGGTTTCGATTCGACGTGTGGGAGGGATATTCACCTCACTTAGCTGTAAACAGGACAGTCGAACTGTGCTTTGAGGTGACATTCCTGTTTAATAACTATTATGAGCCACAAGGGAGGATTAATATCTTTTCACCATCTAACTAGCTTCTCTTTCAGGCTCCTTTTGTATTGAAGAAACACACACCTCATGTCTGAATGAGCGTTAGCTGGGCGTTGCGTGTAGCAGAACCTGCTTTGTTCATCACAATCCGATCAAGAACTGATTCAGACGAAATGGTGTCCACTTGTCTATGAAACACTGCCATTGTGTACAGTTCAGACGCAGGCGGTTTGTTTGGATGTAATGGAACCGTGATATTATCAGGAATCATGTTTATAGCGTATTAGTGCAGTGTTGGGTGTAATTATTTAAGCAGTCTATAAAATTACAATAACTTAATCACTTTTCCCTTGAAAAAGTAAAGTAAGGGATTACTTTCAAATGTTCTGTAATTCAATTAGGCCTACTTCTGATGTAACTGCATAGCCACTGTAGCCAGAACAAATCTAGGCATAACAATAGTGGGTTTAACATCAAAATGTCATGTTAAAATGTATGTTTTTAATGTAACCTTCTCCCTTTACACAGTTTGGCTAGTTCAAGAATAATTTATGCAATTGTATAGTTTATTTGAAAGAATCAAAAGTGCAGTTTCGTGTCTTGTATTGTTCAACTGGTTGATATGGGATTTAGAAAGTAACAAGTAATCAAATAATTTTGAGTTAGTTCAGTAATCGAATTACACGTTTGAAGGTGTAGCCTAATTAATAACTTTTGTAGAGTAACTTCCTAACACTGGTCCTGAGATGGACAAATAATGGTTGATGTAATTTTATAAAAATTGCCTAAATGAAGTATTGAATAATAAATAGGGTTGCTGCACACTTTTTAAAGTCAAATGTAATGCTTTTTAAGACCTTTTTGAGACCTGAAGAAATCAAAATTAATACCGTACATTAGGGGTGCGCAATATTGACAAACATATATCTCGATATTTTCAAAGTTTTAAAGATAATAATTATATGATATTTGTACTGGTATGGCTGGTTTAGGCCTGTTGACAGCAGACTCACGAAGATATTCATATTTTTCATATTCTATGCAGGGACTGACAGAAATTCGGAACATTTCTGAACAATTCAGAAAAATTTACATTTTTATTAAGGGGCAATGTTTGCCACCTTAAATTGATTTCCAGGGGCATTTTCACCTGGACATTTTTTCTAAACTTATTTAGAGGTAGCCTATGCATAACCTTTTATGTCAAATTCTAACATTCAAATTAAATTAAATTAGAATATTAATACAGTAGCCTACCACTGTTACCAGTCAAATTAAATCATTAAATCAAAATCCATCTTTGCAGTGCAGAGGTGACACAGAAGCGGCAATCATTAAAATAATGATTATTATCATAGACAATACATATCGCACATGCCTATGCACATAAAGAATGAACTTACAATTGAACTGACATACCAACCAGGGGCGTCATGCAAGCCAAAATTCTGGGGGGGCACAATCTGAGACGTTGCAATTGTTTTCTGACGGGTGATATGGATCATGTTAGGAGGGGTCAGGGGGTTTCTCCCCCTGAATTTTTTTTAAATTCTAGCTGCTAAACATACCATTTCAATGCAGTTTGGGAGGGACAGAAATACCTTTACGGAGCTAGCAGCAACACTCCTCTATCTGATTCTGAGGACTAAGTTAAAGTATCTATTTTGTAAGTTTATGTAAAAGACAGGTTGATGAAAGAACTGTAAGCTCAAATTCAAAAGCTTTTCAAGTCTACTTCATTAAAGCATGTTTACACACACACTTACTGTACACTTAGGCCTACTACACATGATTTTAAAAACACATTGCAGTTTTTATGTTATGATTTTAAATTGGTATGTGACCTAAGAACGATCTTACATTAAAGGTAGCCTACATAAAAGTGCTGAGGTCTGACTTTGTGGTGCTCTGAAATTAAGTTATTTTAATATTAATATGTGATGAAGGACTTTAAAAAAAGTTTGACAGATTTCAGTGCTGAATAAGGTTAACACTACCTCGTTTATTTGAAAATGGTTAATATTTGACAGAAATGTAAAAAAGTAATCAAATCAAATGCAATATGTATAGCGATCTGTATAACAACTATGCTGTAGGGATTTGGGGGGTAGTCCTATGATATAGACTACATTAAAAGATAATGAATTTCAAACCTGAACCAAACATATTTTTTAATTCAAAGATCAAAGTCTGTCATTAGTCTTTAGTCTGCCAAAAAAAAAACCCCATTAAAATCATGAACTCATATGTCATTGTGAAAAAAAAAAATGTGTTACTGTTGTAACAGTGTGTAGGCTAAATCAGACCTTTCAGGCTATAGCCTAACGCTAATAAGCCTTATGGCAAAATTATTATTACAACTAAATTGTCGGTCATTAAATAGGAAAACTAAATAATTTTGTAGATGATTTGCTTTGTGTAGGCCTAACCCGACATCAGACATTATAAGGCCCGGACGAAGTTTTTTTTGCACACAGTGACGCGACCAATCAATCACTCCTTTAATGCTGCGTTCACACCACACGCGAATAGCGCGTCAAATTCGCGCCTACCGCGTCTAGTTATAGCCTACGCGTGAACACTTTGAATCCATTCGCGCGTCAAGAGCAAATGACGCGCGGAAAAAAACTAAAGTTTAGACTGGCTGCCTGCACATTCACTGTCCTCGCGGCTGCTGCAATTGGAAGGGGCTGGCTGCAGGACGACTCAACTTCCACGGACAGTTTTTAATATTTTATATCAAGATTTTGCTTTAGTATAATTTTCGGGACAATTAAGGCCGGTTTCGGGATTCGGGACAACAGCTTAGATTTGGGGACTGTCCCGAATTTTTCGGGACTTCTGGTCACCCTAGGGAGGAAAAATCTGAGGGGGCACGTGCCCCTCACTTTGAATGGGCATGACGCCACTGATACCAACTTCCTTCTCCTTCTCTCCTTCTCTCAGACGTAATATGCTGCCGCGAATGACGCGATTTGACACGTGAACAAGCAAATCCAAAAAAAGAAAGAATAATAAAAAATAATATGTACGCGATTTAATTGGGAAAGCATTTAGATACGCTATATATAGGCTACGTCATAAGTCAACGTGTAATCTAAATACTTTTTAAGGATCCGCGGGAACCCTGATATATGAAATATAATTAAATTAATGAGAAATTATGTAGCCTACTATCCAATTAAATACTTATTTTATTTCCCAAATCAAAATATTTGAACCTCACAGACCACTAGAGAGCTATAGAGAAGGATAGTATTGAGCTGTATGGAAGCATACTAGGCTACTTTGCTGCATGTATGTTGTGCACATGATTTTTTTTTTTTCATGTATAAAATACCGATTACCAAATATATCTGCTAAAATTATGCTGAACTTAGAACCGCATACTACTTTTACAACATCTTTCAATGGCAGGAATAGGAACTATGTTAGTATGCAACTCCAAATTTAGCAATACTGTATCCCACAATGCAATGTCTTTCCTTTTACAGTTATAAAATGTACATTATTTTTGACTCAATATTTGATCTGACTTCTCAAAATTGGATCAAAAAGCAAAATGTGAAAAGTGATGAGGTCACGTGATAGGGACTGCAGATGTAAACGAGCTTGTATGGCTAAATCTGTCACATTTACATGATGGACACAAGTGCTATAATATTTATTAATATGCATTCTCTTTAAAAAAATAAACAAACGTATTATTGTATTGTTGTAGATGGCACTGTCACTTGTTTTTAAAAAAAAATAATAGTAGAATACATACAATTGTATAAAATAATCATGTTATTTTTTTAAACATAATATCTATTAAATATGATATATATTAATTGTATATATAATGTATATAATTTAATACAAATGTGAATATATATACATATTTTTTTACACCACATATATGACAAAAATACAATTAACACATATAATTTTATTAATAGTTTAGTTTTATTATATACATATAGATGTAATCTTAGCAGCGCTTCATATGCAACTTCAAGTGACAGATTAAAACATTTGTGTTAATAAATCCTTATATTTAATACACCACCATTTATTATACTCCCAGAAATTCTCATTTAGATACAGGGTAATTTGATGTGTGCTTAAAATAAAAGTGCCATCTACAATAAACATTTCATGACACGCTTTTGCAATTCCCTGAATTCTTCTTGTGGCAGCAAATATTTCCGGATGATGTCTTGTACTCCGTCCTCAGTGGCTGTGTAATAGTCTTCTCTGTTTTTGAAGGGAAGGTGACCGGCGAGCTCACACAGGGCCACATTGAAGGCAGACTCTTCTTTGGCCCCAAAACAAGACAATCGGGGCCATACGATAACCCTCACCCCGATTCGTGATGAAGACTGTTCACGCTCCCTCTGTGGAGGACAACCTCGGGTGATGAAGAGGTTGTGTGCGATGTTCCCGTCAACCAAAATATCAGTGAGATTGCACACCGCATTGACTGTCAAATCCAGGTTTGGACCCTGGGTGTAGAACAGAAAGCCTGCTGGGAAGTCCAGGAGCCCATACAAGTGTTTTTTAGGCAGGATCAGTTCTGCTGGGGAGCTCTCAATCCTCAGTTGGTGCTTTAGGTAGTAGCCATGGAGATGGAGATGGTTAACTGAGGCAAACCCACCCAGGCTGTTGAAGCCAACCCTGAATCCTGGATCAGCGCTCAGCAGAACCGTTTCTATCCCCACCTGGACCGCCAGAGGGGTCAGTACCTGTGGGTGACACCGGTCCGGTTCAGGTACGAGCAGACAGTGACCGAATTCCAGCGGACTCACGTTTATTATCACTTTGCACTTCCGTTTTGAACCATTTTGATGGCACCCCTCTTCACACTGTAATTCAAAGAGCAGCTCTTCGAGGTTGATTTTGTTGAAATTGAACTGCTTTGGGTCAAAGTTCTGCCGGACGCTCAGGATCTCCTGAGGTTTTCGTCTCTCGATGCCTCTCATGATGTTCAGCTGAGCGATGTATCCACAGGGCCCAGGGAGGATCCGCGTCTCCAGATCGTCCAGATGGTACCGAAACAACCCGGTGTTCTTCCTCTCAGTCCATCCGGACCGCAGCGCGATGTCAAATCTGGACCGGTTCGGATTTCCGGAACAAACATCATTTATAAAGTCCTTGTTAGTGTAGGTAAAAATGGCACAATCATTCATAGCTACATTCCACTTGTAAACAACTTCTTCTCTATACAAATAACGTCCACGTGTACTGGTTCTGCATGAATGAAAGCACTACAAATAGTGCACGTAATGAGCGTCTCTGATTGGTCACAAAGAGTCACATGACAATTGAGAACTATGGAAAGTGAGAGGGCTCGTGCCGCTTGTTTCAACGCGATTTGTAGTTAATTTACACTACTGTTCAAAAGTATGGGGTTCAGTATTTTGAATAACATGAATACTTTTAATGAGAAAACAGGCATTAAATTGATCGAGTAAAGACAAGATTCATATTTCAAATGAACAGAAAGTCCAAAAGAACATGGGACTTTCTGTTCATCAGAGAATCCTGTTTTCAACATTATTAATAAATAAATGTTTTTTGAGCAGCAAATCAGCATATTAGAATGATTTCTGAAGGATCATGTGACACTGAAGTCTGAAAATTCACCTTTGCCATCAGGGGAATAAATTATATTGTAAAATAAATGAAAATAGAAAACAGTTCTTTTAAATTGTAATAATATTTCACAATATGACAATTTTTACTGTATTTTTGATCATATAAAAACAGCTTTGGTGAACATAGGGGACTTCTTTCAAAAATATTAAAAACATTTTACTAATCCCAAACTTTGGAACAGTAGTGTATGAAAATAATAATTTAGTTAAATATGCACTTATTTGCATATTACATCAAAAGTGACCCCACTGAAAATGTCGGGGGGGGGGTTTTATAATCAGAAAATCAGTTAAAATGTTTATTCAACAAAATATAAAATATGTCCCTTTTAGGAAACATATTTTTTAGAAACCCCTCTCAATTATCAGCACTATCACTTTAAAACAAACTTTAAAAATCAAAGATTTTCACCTATTATGAAACATGAAATATTAGGTGTAATATACGAGAAAACTGCCACTAGAAAATGGCCTTTGAAATATTCAAATCAATTCCCATGTAAGAGGAAATGGTGATAAATTAAAATGAAATCTTTAGAAATTACAATTTTTGTTGAGTTCTTTTTTGAAGGTTTGGTAGTTGCAAAACAGTGTGAAAAAGTCAACATAGTTAAACCCAAGCAAATCTACTTAATCTGTGAGTAAACAAAAGCAAGAATAAAACCAAGACCACCACGCCTCAAACAAAAGTAGTGTTTATATAAAATCAGAAAGCATAATTTTACAATTCACATTCAACAATTAAGACTTGAATACACATGGTGAGGCGGTCAGACAAAGCATAAATAACACAAGATTAATATTTTCAGTGTGTGCTCTTCACACATTTAACTAGAATAATCGTATAATATCTTGGAATGTGCATGTAAAATAAATTGAGTGCCATTAATGGAATGGAAGTGAACAAGCTCAATAGTTGGTCTCTTTAGGCAGTATGAAATGTGTGCTATGTTTTTATCCATTATGGATAAAAGGCTCCAAACCTCAAGGTTGGGAAATAAACCCCATTAGACTGCATCACATGGAATTACCATTAACTCCTCCCTCATTGTTTCGGATGAGGCCGTACTCCATAGCCAGATCCAAGCAGCGCTGGGCGGCTTTCCGAACGGAGTCCTGGTTGGGATTGTCTCCTTTAGCCAGGACAGACAGGATCTCCAGTGCCTCACTCTCAATCAGTTTCTCTGCCAGACTTTTGTCGGCCTGCATGATGTTCATTATGATGACCACTCCACGATGCCGCAGGTCCTGGTTTTCGCTGAGCAACAGAGCCTGGAAGATCTCCAGCCAGTGGCTCGTCTGGAGAAAAGGAGGAGAAAAAGTGGGCTGAGAATGAGATGAAGAATGTGAGCATTCTTAAAGTGCCCCTATTACGCTTTTTCGAATATTACCTTTCATGTAGTGTGTAATATAGCTGTTTGTAAATGTAAAAGCTCTGCAAAGTTTCACAGATCAAAGTGCACGGTCGATAACTGGAGTTAAAAAGAACTGATTCTGAACTGCATGAAACGAGTCATCAGTAATTCCAGTTTTACTTCCTGCAAGAACCTACTTAGGGGTGTAACATATTTAGCATAATGCCAGCCTATGCTCTTCATTGGCTGCCCAATGAAGTGCCCAATGCCCAATGAATAACGTCTACTTTGACCCTCAAACACTGTAGCCGTAGCTGAAGCTGGAAGAGTCCACTTTGATGCACTTGAAAAGGACGAGGACTCAAATTGATATGGTAAAACCAACACCATCGTTACTGTTCGTATCACTTTGTAACAAGCCCAGAGGAAGATGAAATTCAGATATGGTAATGGCTATTTCATTTCCGACATGCGCTGTAAGCAGTAGACCAATCACAACAGACTGGGCCATCTGACCAATCAGAGCAGAGTAGACTCTGAGAGAGGAGGGATTTAGAAAGAGCGAATCCTTTATCAAACCGTTTCAGACACTGTGAGAAAAGAGGTGATGTGCAATGTATATTATGAGAAAATTAAAATGTTTTTTTGACCTTGAATTCACGTAAACCTATTGCAGTAGACCCCCGAAACAAAATTAGGAATCTTTAAAATAGCATAATAGAGGCACACTTTAATCAAAGTGTTACTCACCGTGTCAGGAATACGTGTACACAGCTCGGGCATTTCCCCTGTCAGCACGGCCAGTGTGCCTGATGCAGCCTTCCTCAGTCGCTCATCATCTTCACCACTGTAGAGCACCAGCAGCTTCAGACGGTCACTGTCTGTAACCAGGTAACTCTTCTGCACCTGACGCATCAAACAAAACCAGAAAAATCAGTCTTTTCCAGAAGGATTTAGCTCAAAATTAGGTCCAAAAACTGAATACTGTCATGTGACGTACCTCAGCGCTTAAGGCCAGATTGCACATACACTCTGTGGCAGCAGCACGGACCATCTCGTGCTCCTCAAACATGTAGCCCTCAACTTTAGGCACAGCTTTCTCCTTAATGATCTTCTGCCTGTCAGGTGGAAATGTGGTTTGACTGGGGCTTGTTCTGCTGTTCAGTGGCTTAAAGTCACCATGAAACCAAAATGGACAATTCTTGTTTTTTTTAATGGAATATTGCAGTATTTATTATAAAAGATTGATCATTGCACATTATATATTTTTTAAAAATCTGTGTCTTCGTAATCTTTAATCAAACTAACTCTCTCTTCCATCTCTTCTCTTCTCTGATGGCGTGAGGGCGGGACAACCTGTCACTGACGGACAAAACCAAGTCTCGGCCTACATTTTTTCTTGTGCGAGAAGCTATACGTCACAAATTCATTTTAGTGGGTGACAGCTGACCTGAGTCTCTCACTGAAGCCAGCCAGGTTGGTGAGGGCCATCAGAGCCTCAAAGTTCTGCAGCATCGTGCAGTCAAGCGCCAAAAGACTGACCAGGGGTCTCACCACCTCATAGACCTGCACAAACACATACATCATCATAGAAATCCTGACTGAAATCAGTGAGAAAGGTTAAACAGGTTGCTGACGTACCCTCTCGCCCGGAAATGCGATCTCAGGGTTGGATGTGATGGTGATCTTGGCTAGAGCTTGTGCTGCTTTGATCTTTCCTCGATCTGTGCTCTCGGAAACCAACGGTAGTAAGGCCTGCATCAAGCAAACAAGAAAACTGTCATGTACTACCACTCAAAAGTTTGAGATCAGTAATATTTGGTCCTCCTGGGTGGAACTGAAGCTTAACAGGCATGATGAGAGAATATACTTACTTTTCCTCCTCCTTGTGCCACAACTAAACCTCTGTCCTCATGTCTCTCCACCAGAGCCAAAATCACCCTGTCAGGAAGAGACAGAAAACGGCCATTTGGACGGAAATCAACCATTTTGCACACTAAAAATCCATTTTCAAACAATCTCGCCTGATGGAGCAAATTGATCCAAGGCTTAATCTGAATTTAGGACAGTAGTTGTGCCAGCAGTGGGAAAGGGCCAAAGCTGAAGTGCAAATAAAGTACTTTTACAGTAGCAGCCTTTGAATTCTGCCAGAATTTTCCAAATTGATTGAGCTTCATCGTGAACAGACCTGGCGATATACTCTCTGCAGGCCTCCGAGAGAGCGGGACTCTCGTGTTTCACCATACAAACCAACGCTGACACCACCCCAGCCTCCAAGAGCTTCAGCACCCTCTTCTCTACAAACGACTGGGCATCCTACACAAAAACACAAGTCAAAATTTGGTCATTTATTTTCCCTGATGACGTTTCAAACCTGTACGACTTACTTTCTTCCAAAACAACAGGAAAGAGATGAGCAAATAACTGTTTTTCGCAAATAAATATGTTGCAATGACTACATTTATGGTGCTTTCGTGGAGCTTGACAGGCCCAGGTCAATAAATACTTCTGTTGTACGGAGGAGAGCAGCATGAACACTCTTGCTACACATCTTTTGTGTTCCTCAAAAAAATATATATACAGGTGAAACTCGAAAAAATTTGAATATCGTGCAAAAGTTCATTTATTTCAGTAATTCAACTTAAAAGGTGAAACTAATATATTATATAGACTCATTACATCATATATTCTAATATTCTAAGTTTCACCTGTATATAGTGATATGGGTTTGAAATGACAAATGGATACAGATTACATAAATAATGATAGTACGTTCATTTTTGGTGGATGTATCCATCCTCGGTGGATATATTGAGTGTTTATGTGTTACCTTTGGATGCTCCTCAGGTACATGCTGTTTAGCATATTTAGCAAGTTCCACCATCTGAGGGTCTGGTTTCTCAACATCATAGCTGTTGGTGCAGTTAACCAGTGTAGATCCGACGGCAAATAACACTGTTTTGTCCTCAGACTGCAAAGAAAATGAGAACATGAGGGAGTTGCTGTAGCTGTCAAGGATTAGTATAATGGGGGATGTGTATCTCCAAAACAGCAGGAAGGGCGGTACCTTAGCCAGCTCAAACATGGCCTGAAGGGCTTTCTTATCCTCCACCAGGTCCTCTTTCACATCGGCGTCCAGCGTGAGGTAGGCCAGACCCTCGATGGCCCAGCGGCGGGATGTTGGAGGAAGAGCTTCGTTGCAGAGCCACCTGGAAGCGAAAGACA